GATAAGAAATGGGGTCATTGCCAGACAGACAGTGATGTCACAGATTGTATGGATCGTCACAGCCGCTGCGGAGACTGGGCACGAGACGGAGAGTGTGTGGTAAACGCCCCTTATATGCGCAAAAAGTGCCCGCGATCTTGTGGTCTGTGTACTCACGGAGCAAACGGGCGAGGAGGTCCATGCAAGTTTCCATTCTTCTACAAAAATAGATTTGTGTATGACTGTCTAAAATTCAATAGGAAGACTTGGTGTGCGACGACAACTAATTATAACAAGGACAAGAGATGGGGCTACTGTTTTCCCAAGTGTAAGTTTGAACTGTAGTTTTGTTTTGATCTCAAATTCAAGTGTCCAGGTCATCACAATGAAAGAACAGACATTCTTCAGTAAATGTAACTCGATGAGATTCTCTCAACCTATTTTTCTACGAACAGATAGTCATCACTGCGTAACTAGCCAAGTTGACTATCGCTCGTAGAAAACGAAAGGGGAAGTCCAAACACTAAATAAAAATTTACTTAATTTAATTTTTTTTTTTCATTTTAAGCCAAACAATAAATTTTTTAAAATGTTCCCACGTCTATGTACGCACAATTCAACCCAGTATCCACCTTGTTTTACGTTTCCTTTTCCAGTCCATTCCAATTTCGCATTAGGTGGTTAGGATAAACATACTACAGCATGTTATCTAGCTGACGTAACGTGCCATTTGTTCGCAGTATTTCGTAATATAAAGGCGGTTAACAGGAAATTTTTTCATTGGGGAGAATGTGATGATCAACACCAAGATTGCGTGACGTGGGCGAGTAAAGGATTGTGTGACGAAGAACCTGAAAAGATGCATTCTTGGTGTCCCTGGAGCTGTCATAAATGTGCGCCCGAGCTAATGGGTAAATACCTTAGGCCCCGCCCGCACTAAGCCGGAGGAATTTAAAAACGTAACAATCACCGCTGGTCATTTTGGATTTGGATTTGAGGAAAACTCGGTCAAAGAAAACACGCGATTATCGCGACGCCATCTTTTCGAAACTAGCTCCGTTTTCAAAATGTTTCCGTCCACACGAAAATGCAAAGCCGGCATTTTCAAATTTCTTTGGTTTGAAGAGAGTTTTCAAAAACTCCGTTTTCGCGACGGATTAGTGTGGACTGTATGCCTAACCGTAAAAATAAAGCTGTGTTTTAAAATTTCTCCGGCGTAGGGTGGACGCTCCCCAACTATCGCACATTTACAGGAAGCAGCGAACCGTTCATTTCTGTAGATATTCCAGCAAAACAAAGCACTTCAGAAATGGGCAGAACGCGGAAAGAGCTTTTCAAGTCGCTAACAAACCAAAATCTCGTGTGCTTTATTTGCTGGCCTTATTACGCACGCTCACAATTGCTCTTTTTGCAGAACAACAGAAGGATTCGTTTTCTGATAATAGAGTGTTTTCAAATGACGTCACGGCAGCCATATTGGTATCCCAAAAAATAAAACGGCGGCCATGTTGGTGTACGTGTATGTAAACACTTTCTTTTGTTCCAATATATTTGCATGTATGGCTGCTGGCCACGGCTACGTGAGTGGGAACACTCTATAGAGAAAACCTTGTGCGTAATGGAATTCAATAATTAGCGGCACCCGCGAAATTAAAGTCAAAATCCCCAAATTGCTGGGAGTGTTTTCTTTCTCAGTTTTAATGGGACACGTGTTCAATAAATGCATTCGCAGCAGTGGAACAGTTTGTGCTCCTAACCTCACGTAATCCTCGCGCGGGTTTCTCTTTTTCCAGTCACATACAAGGGGTGCAAAGATTTTACCTCATCCTGCAAGGTCTGGGCCGAAGCTGGAGACTGCCTGGATAAACCAGTTTTCATGTTTGCATTCTGTCGCTGGACTTGCAAGCACTGCGCTAAAACATCAAGTAAGCTACCGTGACGCAACGTACTTGTTTTGTTCATTTTTATCCAACTAACTGTATGAATGCGGGTGCAATAAAGAATTTACACTAAGAGTGATATTTGAAAATTCTCTCAAATTGAATGAGTCTTTAGGCGAGTATAATTTGAAAAATAATTAAACACCTCGAGCAGTGTAATCCTTAATTGCTCGAGCTTTCATACGATTGCGCATTTATGTGACTGAAAAATAACGAACGTATTTGCATTGCATAGTAGCCTGCGAACGCAAACGTATTTCCGGCTGTCGCTTGTCTCCGCCGAAAATAACGTTTGCGAACTCGAGCCAGGAAACGATTTCTGTGACGTAGGAATTTTAAGCCAATCACAGTTTAGCTCAAGTAGCCCCAGAACTACTGCGCGAGGTATTCGCTGCGAGGAACACTCGAGTTTCTTTCTATCATGGAATCTGATTGGCCAAAGAGAGACAAAAGTCATTACGTCACAGAAATCGTTTCCTGGCTCGGGTTCGCAGACGTTATTTTCGGCGGAGACAAGCGACAGCCGGAAATACGTCTGCGTTCGCAGGCTAATTGCATTGTAACCTAAATGGTAACAAAATTGGCCTAATCTTAGCCAATCACAATGAAGTAATTTTGTCAGTCATGCAAATGAGCTCAGTAAATTCTTAAGGACTAGCCGAGTGAAAATAGTTTTTACAATAACTTAATTTACTTATTAGTATTAATTCAGCTGGTTTTCAAGAATTTCCGAATAGATTATAAGTTTTATGTAATATGTCGTTTACACTCGCATTTTGATGGGTTCTTATTTAAGGTCTATTGAAGGACAGGCCCATAGATGACGTCATGAACGCCCTTTTTGATTCTTTAATATACAAAAGAGTAGATTCCATGACGTCGTGCGTCCGTTCAGAAATAGGTCGCAGAAGATGTCAAAACGTGGTATGAACATCCATGACACGCTCGGCTATCGCCTCGTGGGCCACGTTTTGGGCGTCATCTGCGATCTATTACTGAACGGCAACATGGAATCTATTTGTAAAATAGAAAATCTGTGCTTGTTTTTTTAAGGTTTAAGTTATTGCACGTAGGTTATTACACGTTGCGAGTTAGGAGTCATTTGGTTAACAGAAATTCAGCGGTGCCGTACCATTTGTTAGAAGGTGACCGTTGAGTACGTAATGTTAAGGGTTTTTCCAAAATCAGCAAACCAACCGAACGAGATGAAATTTGCCATTCACAATTCGGTTAAGTTCGCCGATATCAAATTCCGTTGATTATGGATAAATTGAGCAATGGGTAAGCTCAAGGAATAGGCTCTTTACACGATCCGGTCACCTGGTACGGAATTAATTACGCTGGGACGCAAATTACACAGTGGGACTTCCAAAACAAAGGAACTCTCCTTTGTTTTGGAAGTCCCACTGTGTAACTTGCGTCCCAGCGTAATTAATTCCGTACCAGGTGACCGGATCGTGCAAAGGGCCTATTTCCGCCCTTCCGTTCCGAAAGGAAAAAGAAGTACAAGCAAAAACAAACTAAGAGAAAAACAGAAAAACAAGCTCACGAGAAAAAGAAAAACCATCTCTGTGTGGCTTTCGTATGCCTCGTTTGATCTTATCCAGCCGCTGGTAGTATAAACTGCGCACGCGTTGATAGGGTAATTTCTGATAGATATCGCGGGAACTTCCGGTTTCTTTAAATGTTATAGGAAATGTGGTTTTTGATCAAATCCAGCTTTTTTCGACAAGTTACAATGAAAGCCAACATTGAAAACATCTATGCATTTCTTGTGTAAAATCATCCTTTTTCAGAAAATTACGAATTTTTCAATACTTCGAAACTCTCTCAAAATCTGATCTTTTAGAAATGAAACAAAATCTATGCATAGCATAATAAAGATTAAAGTTAAAAAATTAAATCAAGGGAAAAATATCGATAAAGTAATATGCTTGGGAGCCTTTACATTTTTTCAGAATGAGTCACATGACCATGGGACTGGCCTGATGACGTCATCACTGATGTTACTGATCATAAAAAAGTTAAAAGACATGAAATAACTCTGAAATAGCCAAAAATGACAAGGTTATATGAGAATAAATTTTCCCTTGCAAAGGCTTAAAAAGATCAGTTAATGGGCCCTCAAAATTAAATAAAAATCATTTACGAGAACTTGCCTTTGATAATCTTTCCACAGTTCCCACGACAGGGCGTGATAGAATGCCACAGGAATGCCAAACCTGGGTTAAAGATGGTGACTGCTTCCTTCACCAAGAATTTATGTTACAGAATTGTAGAGAGTCTTGTTTGGCCGGTGGATATGTGAAAGGTAAGTGCACATTCAAACAAAA